TTGCTTTCATTCAATTTCATGATAAGCTGCATAAACATTACAAGTTATAAAAGTACAAGCATGGGTAATAATTGTTGAAGGTAAATATATAATATTATTAAGAATAAAATACTTTCAACTCTCTTTTAATAAACTTTCTTCCGTCATTTACTTTTGTAGTCTTTATCATCTTAAGCTATCCCAATGTGATTATAAACAAAAGAACAAAATTTTAAATCTTATTTTCAACACCACAAGCCTAAAATTAACATTTTCCTAAACTGCAAATGTATTTCTGACAAATACTTACCTCTACCCACAAAAAGCTTTCTCGACTAGTTATGCTCTCTATTGGCACAAATGTTTTGTTGACCACAAGCCTTGCAATTCCCACTTTCTCATATCAACATGTAAATGATCATGCAGCAACCCTCAACTAATAGGAGTGCGACACTACCCCTATTGTAACAACCACCCTCTCTAATCATGCACTTTTTATCACTTTAATATTGGTCATAACTACCTGAACCAAATCACACCAGAAGTAAAGAGGACAGGAAGGGGGGGGGGGATGTGAGTGAAGGTAAGTATTTATCAGAAATACATTTTCAGTTTCAGAAAATGTTAACTTCCAAAACAATATCTTACCTCTGTTCACAAAAGTTAGAATCCCAAAATGAACTGGTAGAGGGCTAGTGACAATATGATCCTCCTTGAGAAAGCACTCAAAAAAAGGACCATGAGATGGGGTAAGGAATGAAAAACATCACACCAGTGGGAGACTGTACCACATTTAAGCCAGGTATACTCTTTGCCCTTCAGAAACGTTTTGCCAGAACCTAAAGAGTAGAAACATGGAGAGGCTCCAAAACTTTTCAGCAGGAAAGGGATTCCCAGGTGTTGAGTAGCTATGGCACAAGAGATCCTAAATGGGAGTTCAACCTCAACCAACACCTGGTGGCATCTGAAATTGTACATTAGGTCCACGGTGGGAATAGGGTCCTCTACCTTTCACCTCAAAAAGGGGTACTTAACAGGAATACAAACATGTCTATGACATTAGGAAGAAGATGATTATGAGAATATGCATAGAGGTAATGACCTGTTCAATCCTGACTGAGAGCATCCATTACTTATACCAATGGATTAGGATCAGGAGACCATAAATGGGGAAAGTGTGTATCAAGATGAGAGGCAAAAACATGCCAACTGAGGACACCTCAAAGCACACACAACTCCCAAAAACAAGCGAATCCAAAGACTACCCCATCGATAGAATTTTGTTGGGACGAGATAACCAATCTGCGACAAGATTCAGGGCATCTGTAATAAGGCATGCCAACAAAGTGACACGATTGTTGTGGGCCAAATACAGAAAATCCACAATTCAAAACTAAAGGTCTCTCGACCTGGTGTACCCATGTCTGGTGATGTAGGGCAGTACCATAGAATTGTCAGAGAAGATCATCACAACCTGGTTCTGATAAGCCAGTAGGAAGGTAAGTACTACCCAAAAGACAGCAAGACGTTCAAGAGATTGATATGGAGAATGACGTCGAAAAGAGTTCCCCACCCTTAAACCTCCTGAGTATCAAGAAATGCTTCCCAGATGGAAAAAGAAGCAGCTGTAAAAAAGGTGACAATCCAGACGAGGAGGAGGAAGAGGAAACCCCTGCAGTAATATTGGTCCGATCTAACCACTAGTCAAATTTGGACTTTAAGTGAAGAGAAAGAGTAAGAGGAGCATCCAAGGAAAACGATTAAGGCATTATTGGTCTATCAAAACCCACTGAAGTTGGGGCATATGGGCATGACCAATTGGAATGGGGCCTCAAGAGAAGCCCATGTCCCCAAAAGAGACATAGAACCTCACAAGGAGAAGGAAAAGGAAAATAAGAGATTCCACATACGAGACATTCCATAGCTCTCAACTGAGGGGAGAAGGCTGGTCCCGACAGAGAAATGAGATGAGAAACACACTAAGAAGAGCCAGAAGTTGAGTAGGTGTAAAGAATGACTTCCACACTTTGATAAGCCAACCCACCCAGGCATCTTCTCAAAGAAGAAACTGTGTATGTAGAGCAGTGTCAGCCTGTAAGGAAACTAGAAGTAGCCATTCATCGATGAAATGGTGTAAACAAAGGCCATGGGAATGAAGCAGTTGAGCAAAGGTCTAGATCATTTGGCAGAACACATAGAGAGCTTATGCAAGTCAGAAAAGAAAAGCCCAAAACTGACACACATGATGAACAAAACGAAGAAAATGTCTGGATGCTGGGGAGATGGGAACATGTAGATATGTATCCGACATATTGAACTACTTCACCTACAAACCAGGAGTGAAAACCCAACAAATAGTTAAGTATGACTCTATGGTGAACTTGAGAATGATAAGGAAGCAGTTCAAAGGTGATAAATCAAAAACTGGGTGCCAATCTCCCATTAGTTTGGGAACCAAAAAAAATAAAAAAAATATTAGAATAAACCCCTAATAAGAAATATTTTCTCTTAAATGGCACTATTGAGAAGTAAGTCTCGAACCACCTTCAACTGACATTGGCAAGAAATGGAATTCCACTGAAGGGGGGGGGGATCAGAAGGGGAGACAACAGAGAGGACATAAGGATAGAAAATTAGGTAGACAAGCCAAATCAACCTCGAACTCTAAAGAGTCAGGAAAACCCCCAAACACCTCTTGATGCAAGGAAACGGTGCCATACGCAATTCACACAGTGAAGAGAAGGGTAAACGAATCCTAGATAAAACAGTATCCAGACCTAGAAGAACCCAACAGCAGAGCATCCACATCTGTAAAACAAGAGCTGAAGAGGAAAGGCATGCCATGGAAGCAATAAAGAGGCTACTATGACAAACAGAAAACCCTGAATGTGACAGATGAATAGCCTCAACCAAAAAGTGAAGGGAAAATAATGCACACATAATAGTGGATATCATAAAAAGTATATGGGAAAAAGGAAAATTAACCAAAGTATCAGGTTCTGAACCCCACAAAAGAAGAATTCCAGAAGGTATGAGCTTAATTATGGGTAGTTGGAACTACCAAAGCTAAAGCATATCAATCTTTCCCAATACAATTGTTCCCCAATATGAGTAGCAAGAGCTCCAATATCTGGTTAAGGAGGAAAAACTAAAGAATGACCCAAAGATTAATCCCCTAATATGGTATGGGTAGCATCTTAAAGGAAAACAGGAGACAAAGACAAAACACAACATACCTGATTAATTAAGTTTACAAAAGAGAGGAGGAGGCCTGGGTAAGACCATCAAAATGATATGCAACAGATAAACATATTCAGGAGGGGGGAAAGGCTGCCCAAAGTTACATCCACATGTACACACACACACCTTGGCACTGTAATGACAGAATGTTGCTTGAAATTATACCATTTTCTATGGATGATAGTCATCATGTCATCAGTAGATAACTTGAATAAAGAATAAATAAAGGGAGAGTAGATAATGAAAATAAATCATGCTTCCTCACAAAAAAATATGGAAAAATGACAATAACTGAATTAGAAAAACACACAAAAGTAAAAGTGCATGGATATAATAACTAAATTGTGAGCAAAAACAAACATGTCTACTCAGTAAGACTGCCAATCGAGAAGTGATAAACAGGTATATGATTAAAGAGAGTGGTAGGTATGATAGGGTTAGTGTCACACGCCTAATTGTGGAGGGTTGCTGCATGGCCATTTACATGTTGATATGCAGATAGAAGTGGGAGTTGCAAGGCTAGTGACCAGCAAAAAAATTTTCACTGATAGAGGGCAGTACTAGTTGAGAAAGCTTTTTGTGAAAGGAGGTAAGGTAACGTATCGGAAATATATTTTAAAAATTTATTAAATGATTATCACGCAATTGAAAACAATATATACAATTGAAAACTTTTTGGATAAATTAAACTTCCACAGAAGCAAATAACTATCAATAAGAACTTAAATCAACAAGTGCAAACTCTGTTTATGAAACAACTATGCTCCACCAATGTTATACTATATGTTTAAGTCCTCCATGTTGGATGATATAGTAACTGTCTACAAGGAAAAAATTTCTGTGTCAGTGATTGTTTAAATTGGGAACAATGATTTTCAAAAGCTAACACATCTAGAACTTTGACACACTACCTGTTGTATAACTTTGGTCAAAATCAACCTATCTAATCTTGAGATATCCTGTCCACCAATGAACAATGGCAAACCAATAGAACATAACACATAACATAATGTCTAGGAACAACATGGGACTTATTGGTCCATTTCAGCTGTTCCATCATCTAAGCTAAACTAAAACAATTAAATAAATAAATTTAAAAAAATCTTAAACACAGCCATTATCATTTCTACATTTATCAAGCTTTCTCTCAAATTTACTGCCTCCACAACATCCAAAAGCGACCCATTCCAAAGGCCAACAGCCTTGTCACAAAAACAAAACTGTCTTAGCTGAAGATGACTCTTACCTTTCCAAAATATATACTTGTGGCCTCTAGTCCTCCTATTCTCACCTTTAATTTTAAGTATGAAAAAAGATGATGCATCAACACTATCAATTACCTTTACAATTTGAAACACCTCAATCAGATCACCCTTAACTCTTCTTTTTTCAAGAGAAAACAACTTCAGAGATCTTAACCTCTCCTCATATGATAACCCATCCATCCAAGGCACCATTCTAGTAGCCCTTCTCTGAATCCTTTCCAACAATTTAATGTAGTTCTTAAGTTAAAGAGCCCAAGACTGAACACAATACTCAAAATGTGGCCAAACCAGTGACCTATACAATGAAATTATAACCTCTATAGACTTGCATTCAATATTTTTGTAGATACAACATAAAATCTTATTTGCCCTACCACTAGCAATGGCAGACTGCTTGAATGGCTTTGCAGCGGAGGTATAATAAAAATCAAGATGCTACTGCTAATATTAGAAGCTTCATACCTTAACAGTAAAATAAATTTATATTTTTACCAAAAATAAAATAAAACCTCTAACCTGGCCTGCGTGTAAAAGTCCTTGAGTTTACTCTTTTCTGAGCTTCAATGGAGGAAATTTTACTCTCAGCTATATAGTGGCAATGATTTGCAACAGAAATAATAGTGGCACACAAACGAAGATAGTCTACCTTCCCATCCTTAGACTGGGTAACTTCATTTAATATTGTTTCAACTTCTTGGTAAGTCATTTTGTTTCTTTTCTGATTTTATGCAGTTGTGGCAAGAAGGAAAATATACAAAAAAGATGTAAACATTCCAAGCCAGCAAATGATAGAAATAAATATATATTCAGAAAAATACAACAATTAAATTCATTAATTATAACTTGTTTTGAATGAAATAATAGTTTATTCTCAGAGACCAGGAATTACATACACAAAACAAACATCTAACTTAAAATTCAAGTAATTAAGACTTTGTTTACACTATAAAATTGCATATCTGACAAATTCAATTTCTTGTACCCTTGCTATAATGTGTTTCAGGTTTAACTTGAAAAACCAATATCATGATGGGTATTCATAAAAAATGCAGGTGTAGTGTTAATACTCTCGCTATGCACTCAATTGAATCAGTCAAGTTCGTGAACTCAAATCGATCTTTATAGTTTCGATACTGTAATTTTCTAAAAATTTTGCAAGCTTCTAGCATGCAATAAGTCATCTGTAGACACAAAATCAGAATTTTCACAAAATATTTTTCCATGAATATATGAAGTCAAAGTGAGTGCAAAGTGCTTTTCATGTTCATCAATAAATTTTCAAATTTCATTTGAATAATCTTTAAAACCTCCTAAATAAATTTCAAACTTTTTTCAGTAAAACTTTATATTTCTTCTGTTATTTTCTCTATCCTAAATCTATATGAGGTTGGTCACTCTGACCAAACTCTTAACCACCATGGTTTCTTTTTCTTTCTAGAATGACTTCAAATTGTAACATGAAACTACATTTGTTTATCCTAAATAGCTTTAAACTGTAACAGTATACATCTATATATACTTAAATTATATTGTTTTATTGTCCTTTGAACCATGCTAACTAATAATCCTGACACACAAGTTGTAAGTCACTTGGAAAATGTGTAGCTCATGTTACCCTATCGAATTATATAATACATGGGCTATTTGCAAGTTGTTGAATAGTGCAACTCATGAAAATTTCTGCTATTATTCATTTTCTTTCTTTTTCCTAATCTAACCATATATAACCTAAAAAATTTCCCATTTTTACATTTTTGTTACTTTTATAATAATAAATATAGAATACACATGAAAAACAAGAAATATAGTACTTACCCGGATTGTCATATTTATTGCTGTCAACTCTCAATAAAACTTAACTCTATTATATTCACAATATTATTGCACTAAATATTGTTTTATTAAATTAAATAATGCTTCTAGGAACACAGGATAATAACAAGCAAAGAGCAGACTGAATATGTATTTCCAATAGGTACTTACCTCCTCTCAGACAAAGGCTATCTTGATTGTTGACTGCCCTCTAAGCATTGCTAAAAAAAATTTTAGTAAACAGTGCACCATCAGTTTTGTGTCATTTCTGAAAATGTACATATCATGTGACTACTCTCCACCAACAGTACTGTGCCACCTATAATGATGCAACTAGCTCCTTCTGCTATTCCCGCTCAATTCTCACTTTCGAGAATTGGCAGGTACTAGAATAAAAACACCAGCTTTAGTGGAGAGGAAGGGAGGAAAGTGTGTGAAAGGATGTAAGTACCTATTGGAAAGACATTTTCAGTGTAAGAAAAGGTAAACTTCTGAAATGAACTTACCTCTCCTCACAGAAAAGCTAGAATCCAACATTACATAGATAGGAAGCTGGTATAGGTGCACAAAGAATAAACCAAGTGGAAAGTTGGAACAGATATGCTTTTCACCCAGGAATTAGGCAAGTAGCATAAAATGGGCAGAAAAGGTAATGCTTGCACAATTGCAAGAGCATTAAAAAGGTGCAAGTTGTATCACCAGATAACGAGAAAAGTAAATGTAATCATAATAAATGGTTAGGGCATGTGGACCATGTTATCAATATCCAACAACCCCAACCATAAGTAAACAGAACGTCGTACGTCAAGCGACCAAAATTATGAAAATAAAGTGAACAAACAGTCGTAACCAGACAAATTCCCAAAACCACCATGGGTGCTAGAAGTATGACAAACCAAACATGGCATTACAGAGTCTTAGTATTGCCTCAACTTAACCATAAGAATAGGGAAAGCTGTAATAGGCATTACAGGTAAAATCAAAACTCACTCAACCATAAATGCAAGGTAGAGACATCCTGTATCCAGAATTACTAGAAGTACAAGCAGCATTTGCCCAACCATAGGAACGGGTGATGTTCCGGTGTCTGTATTACAAGGCAGATGAAGTGTCTAAAACCCAACCACAGAAGCAAGAAAGAACCTTCCACAACCGAAATTAATGAGAGGCGTATACTGCACACAACCATAGAAATGGGGCATTGTCATCCTGAACCCAGAATTATAAGGAGGATCCCACATAGGCTGGCCCAAAATAATATTTGATCACTGGGTTTATTGAGTGTAGTCTGCTCAGGCAGAAAACATTTGGGGGAAGTGCCAGTAGGGAATCAGCTTTGTCCTCTTCTCCTGAGTGGATAAATGAGCATAAGTATAGCAAAATATATGAGGAAACCTTCATGGTCCACCACCCCAGCAAGTTGGAACTGAGAATGATAAGGTCTCCCATGCTCTACTCTAAAAAAAAGAAAAGGTAAAAAAGATGGTGGAGAGTTCAGAGGAATGTTACACAGGAGACAGTGCAATGGGTGACTGTGTATCTCTATTTTGAAAAGCAGACCAAACCCAATCAAGGAATTAAAGGGTCGGCAGGGATTGGCAGAAATCCCCTTTTGCTTTACTCATGAAGTCCATTAAAGATGTAATTATAATACATAGATATACACCAAGAAGGTGCCTGGTGGTCTTACAGAACAACAAAGCATACCTGACCAGGCAAAAACAGCCATAAGGTGGGATCTGTAAAGAAGATGCTAAGATTAGCCAAGTGAAAAGAAAACATAGATGAAAGGAAGCAATAATACTTAACCCAGGCAAAGGCAAATGGATGTGTGTAGAATTACCATGGGAGGAAGACACAGCCAGAACAAGCAGCTAATGAGTGATGAAGATACTGGGAGTAGTTCACATTCCAGCTGAATGATCTCCTTCAAAGGATGGCAAAGGCAAGCATCAAAAGACATAGTAATGTGATGCAAAGAGATATTGTGGAGACGGCAACCTTCCATGGACAAGTCCGAATAAGCCAGTCGGATAAGTTGACAAACCTATCCAGTGAGAGTAACAGGTTACAGAACAATGGAAACTGAAGGGTTCCAAAGAATAAAAAGTCAGGAACATGAGCCCTAAAAAGAGGCAAAACATGCCAATAAAACCCGAAGGAACAAACCAGACAAGGAAGCCTATCTGGATTGGAATGGAACTACAAGTGAGAAATGGAAGGTAAAGAAATAGGTGAAAAAACTAGAACAGTTACTGGCAGCACAGGTTCTAGGAAAGAAGGACTTGGGTGGAGATAGAGGTTAGTATAGGAGGGATGGTGAGGATGTGGGTAACATGAATGGTAAAACAAATCTGAACAACAATAACCACAAGCAAGGAGGAGATGGAATTAGGTCATGAAGGAGAGAAGGTAGATGGAACATTAAGACAAAGAACACATTGACATCCCAATAGGCAAAGCAAAGGACCGGATAGAAGGGAAAGGACAGGGGGAGACAAAACCGAGAAGAAATGGAAGGAGATAGAGAAGGCTGCCCGAGTGCTTGGTGCGAACAAGGTTGACAAGCCTTTGACAAACTACTGGGTGAAGAAAAGGAAGGAAGGATGGGAAGGACAAAAACCAAGTTGAAGAGACCAAAGTCAGAGGTATACTAACATTATTAGGAAATGGGGACATCGAAGAAAATCTCATGGATCAAGAAGGAAGGATACAAAATGTGGAGTCAGACCCTGGGTTGAGACGATGGACATGACAAAACCATGTGTGAAGACAGAGAGTGGCAACATCTGTGAAATGATGGACCAATTGGGGATGAGAATCTTGTTGGAAGATAATCAAACCACCACCAGATGGAAGGAGCCAGGAAAAAGGCAAGCGAGTATCACAATGTGATGACAGTGAATTCAGAAAAGAGATCCAGTATCTGAAAGCACAGAGACCAGGAATTGGTACCCACTGACTCAGTAAAATAAGTGACCACAGTGAAGAGATGGAAATGTACCATAGTAATGTGAGGTGAAACAAGGCTCAAGAAAGGTGATATAGATAAAAAGTTCTTGATTCACCAAAGACTGGAAATCTTTTGGGAGTCAAGGTAAGAACCTCAGTTACCGAAAGAAAAAAACGTAAATCAGGATGAGGCAGAGTAAGCAGCACCCCCATTGAGGTCTTTACTTAACTCAACCACCAAACCAGGGATCTGAGGAGAAGTTCCACAGATCAAGGAGTGTTCAAAGGGAAGGCATACGAGTCCAACCCATGGGAATGAGCTTCCAAAGATGTCCACATAACCAAAGAGACAGAACACACTGAGCCATAAAAAGGTGAGGGACGGGTGAACTGCTCTCTCCAAAGACAAAGAGGAGAAGGCTGAGCTTGACTGAGGTTAGAAAGAAGAACCCACCCGATGACTTCCCCCTTGTCATAAGGAAACCAACCTGTTCTGCATCATGTAGGAGTAGAAGAGTGTGGACTTTGGACTGAGAATGGGAGGAAGTAAGCAGGTGCCAGATAAACTAGAGAAGGAAGAATGCAAGACACATGGAGTGTAAAATTTGAGCAAAAGTTTATATTCCTCAACAAAACATGTAAATATCTGTCTAGGAACCAAAGCTAAGCTTAGCCCTACAAATGGGAAAGAAACAAACACATCAGTGAAATAACAAGGCAAAAGTGTAAGTCCAACACTGATGAAAATTGGGAAAGGACAGCACAATTAGACACTCGTGAAAAAATGAGATAGAACAATGAATAGCTTTTACTAGTAGTAATGATATGTAACGTACCAACTATTGAAACATACACAGTAAACAAAGACTGATGAACATCAAATGTAAAAAGTATCAGAATTTTTCTAGTCCACAAAGAAATTAAAAATAACACACATGCCAACTGACAGAAATT